GACATCGTTATTGGGTACACTCAATTTTGAGGCTCAGGGGACTCCAAAATGTGACATGCAGTAATTTTTTTCTGTCGTGACCTGAACGGACTGCGCACATGCTTACTTTAGCCCCTAAAACACATAGGGATAAATTTTTAGTGCAGGAGCGAACAGATCTGGTTAGGACAGAATCCGGACGTCGTGTGAACAAGCCCTAAAGGTGTCCATACACCTTACGATTATCCTTCCAAAAACTAACGTGATCAGGTTTTCGTACGATAATTGTCCAGTTGATGGGAAGTAAACTATTACACTGGACTGGCCAACTGTCCTCGATCAATCAGGCTGGAACGAATCGAATGAAAAAATCAATGGATTAGTGGCGTTTCATGCGGGGGAACAAAATTAAAAATTGCTACATGAATGCTGCAAACGAAGATCCGTTTTGTCAATCGACGACATTTGGCCAGTTACTATTGCTAACGAACGATAATCGAAATCTACATTGATCTGTGCATGATGGGGTATTTGAGTGGAAATTGAAGGGGGGTTTAATGACGGGACGAAGGAAATCAAACGATAATTGTAAGGGTGTATGGCCAGCTTAACATTAGCAGTACAATCATTGATTTTTACTTGGTGTCTGGACCTGCTTTTTACACTCTAGGTTTTGTAAGCCTTATATATGAAGGACCTAGAGTTTGTTATGCAATACATCATGATACAATTATACAGTTTACTAACGACATGAATTGGTCTAAAAGGTCATTCATGTTTTAAATAGAAAGGAAATAAGAAAACTACTAAATACTTTAAAGTGGTTCTAAAACCAATACAACATTCTTACCTTCTATCATCTACCTATTTTTTACATTAAGCTGTCCTCTACAATTAATTACTTGTCCTGCTGTTCATTAGGACTTCCTGCAAGAGAGCCTTTGCAGTGCTGCCACCACACCGTGCATGCTCACCTATAGGTGAGTAGGTCCTGTATTACTTACTATACACGGTTTACTTCCTAGTTCAAGTGACCACATTTGTTTTCTATACAGCTCAGCAATGCCAGTCAGGTATAAGATGCAGTGTGTCACATGCTGTGTGATGTCATTTGAGCTATTACATGCTTTCCCTTCCAGGCAATTCACAGCGGAGCATGTGGTCAGTCAAGTATTGCAAGTATGCAATATTTCATAGT